TTCCAACCAGGTCGTGCCGACTTAAAGTTATTCAAGTTAATTCGGCAATCAATGCCACATTCACCGCTTCCTTAAAAGAAGACGGGTGCACACGGAAGACTTTCATTCTGGTCACGCCAGTACGGAGGCCCTCCATAAAGACGATCACTGTGACCGCCTCGGGAAGAGGATCAGCTGCCATAACAAGATATTACTTGCGATAAAGTATGCACTGGTCAAGTTCCACGCTCACCTGCCCGACTTCAATCTGCTCGTAATCTCTACAGATCATGCGTCACCTCGCGCTGCGCCTCCATTGCCTCACGTATCGCCAGGTGGCTTTCATTATTTGTAAAAAAAAACTTCGAGGTGAAGTTTAAATCAGAAAAGTAGAATGCTTTGGTTGATGCGTTGTCACGCAGACCAGATTATGAGCTTGCTCTTGTCACGACGGGGACGTCGTCAGTAACGGATTTGACCAGCTTCGCATACGCGGGTGATGGTATGTGCGTAGCGCTGCTGCAGGCTCTTGAAAAAGGATTATGAAAACTCGGACAAGAAATTGTCGTCGAGACTGCGTGTATGTTTACACCGAAATTCGTTGAATATCGAGTTGCTGTTCTATAGCGCCGACTCGACGGATACGCCCCGAATTGTGGTACCTCATGATGAGGATTTGAAATACTGCATCCTCTATGAGGCTCACGACACGCCACTCAGTGGTCATCTCGGTCGTGAGAAAACGTACAATTCTGTGAGTCACCGCTATTGGTGGCCCAAGTTGTACAAATGGACGAGCACCTATGTGCGCACGTGTGAGACGTGTCAACCGGTAAAACCCTCTCCAAATACGGCTGGTCGCTGGCCAGCTTACCGGTACCCTCTGGGTGCTGGCAGTCCATGAGTTTGGCTTTTGTATTTGGCATGCCGAAAGATTCGGCGGGCAACACGGGTGTCGTTCTATTCGTCGACCGGTTGAACAAGATGGCTCATTTGGAGGCGGTGCCAGACACCATTAACGGAGTCGGTACAGCAACGCTATTTGAAGATCGTGTTACCGACAACACGGACTCCCAGAGTCGATTGTCTCTGATAGAGACCCCCGTTTCACGGGAAAATTTTGGTCGACCATCTTTGAGGTGTTCGGCACCAAGTTAGATATGTCGACAGCGGATCATCTGCAGACCGATGGTCAAACCAGAAGGGTGAATCGCGTCATCGAAGACGTTCTTCGCAGCGTCTGCGCTGAGATGCCGAAGTGCTGGAGCGACATGTTGCCACCCGCAGAGTTTGCACTGAACAATGCAGTGCGTTCGTCAACCGGCTACACGCCGTTCTATGTGAGCTGGCTGATTCACCCTCGCGTCCCGCTGACACCGCCATCCCACGGCTCAGGGCTTGGTGGGGGAGGAATAGCCGAACGGCTAGCCGATGTCAGCCCCCTCATCATCCGTAAAGAAGTCGATGACTTCTTGTCTACCAGACTGAGTGGCCTACGACACGTTCGCAATGCGATGGTTGAAAGCCAAGACCTGCGGAAACAATATGCAGATAAAAAAGGGAGAGGCAAAGGTAAAGCTTCAGGGTCGGAGACCTTGTTTTATTAAATTAAAAACAAAACTGCCTACACATGCAGCATCTGCTATCTTACGGACGAAGCTTCGTCCACGGTTTATCGGACTGTTTAAGGTGGTGGCCAAACGGGGCCTGGCATACACGCTGAACCTTCCGAAACGGATGCGCATCCACCCGGTGTGTTACGCGGGCTTGCTCAAGCCGTATCGGGATCCGGCGCAAGTGAATGCGGAAGCGTTGGCGCTGGAGCGGATTCCACAGGCCCGCGGCAACCCAGAAGTTGAACCAGCAACTGGTTCTGAGCACGGAGTGCAAAACCTCCATTTCCAATGGAGCCAAGTGCCCCACCGTTGCCTGCAGCGATGCATTCGCCTGCTCCACGGCTAGGAGTCGCTCCGATAGAGAGCAGAGGTCCTCAAGGCGATGCAGCCGGCGCACGACGTGTTTAAATCGTCAAGAGCATCCGCACAGCGATATACTACTTCAGCATAACGCTTAGCGGGGCTCAGAACACGAAGGACCTTGTCCTCAAGGGCTCGGAGAGCATCACGAGTCACCGGACGGCGGTAGACCCGGTCGTCACCGCCCGCCACCGACCTTTCTCGATGAGAACGGTGACGTCTG